GTGATTTTATGTCGAAATTCACAGGTAAATGGCGTGCTTGTTCACAATCATTATATTTTATCTGTTCATTTGATTACAATTGGTGCACTATGCACCTCGTACCATCATTGTTCTCCGTATAAACATTAATTAATATCGGTTCTGTTTTTGCACGTTCAAGTTGTTTTGAGATCGGATATTTCTCTGTTGGGGTCTAGCACTCAGATAGTTGTTTTAGTTGTTTGTGTTGTTGATTAATTTAGTTGCGAGTGTTCTAGCAGAATTATAGGTTGTCTTTTGACTTGTCTTTCAACTTTTTTAGCTGTTGGCTGCTGTGTATTCGCACAATTGTGAATTTTGATTTATAATATTATCTATCGTTTTGAGAAAAAAAAAAAGTTGTTTTGACAGAAATTTATAACCAGTGTATTACAAGTTAAAAATTTATTTATTAATTTATTTCTCTACTGTTTAATTAGGGTACATTGTATTCAGTTAATAAGATTTTATAAATCATGATGTGTTTATGTACTGTTTAATTAATGTTTATACATACGAAATTGAATGGTTAATATATTTTTATTTTTTTATTTATGTATTATATAAACAATAAATAAGCAGAGTATAACTATTTTTCATTCTATTTCCTAACAGAAGTATTTTTTGAACAACTTAAATAAAAAAAACATGAACAATTTTAATTTTCAGTCAATTCTATAGAAGGTTTATCTATAATTGCATTAAAGTCCTACTACATGCGTTACAATATGTCGGCCGGCCGGCATTTCAATTGTGCAGTACTACATGCTTTTATTGAATTTTTAGATCCTGGAATCCCAGAAAATACGAGCTTCTTAGGAAAAGATAAAAACATACGTGTGATCGTATTCACAAATATCCGTATAAGGTATAACCTCCTCTGTTATTTCTTTCTAATGTATTAATTACGACATTCACTGGTTCACTAACTTGTGTCGCGGTCGAATGTATGAATATGAGGCAGGCTTTGGGAAGATGATGTTTTCCCAGTGTAGAAGTAAGAGTATGCTAAGAAGGCCGAACCAAGTGTAACTGTAGTAGCAATAGAACCCCAAACCCATTTCTGTTTTCTCTTCCTTCTTTGCCTAAGTCGTCTTGCCGTCTCTACACAAGATAAAATATAAAAGTTATCGATGAGAGTTTCGCTAATATAATGCTGAAGGGAGAAAAATAAACAATTAAAAGAGCATGAAACTTAAGAATAAATGAAAACCAAAGTAGAATTAGAATAGAGTATTTGGAATGAACCAGAGGAGACTGAATTTGTATATGCTTTATTATCCATTTCATCCACTATTTATCACCAAATTAATGTTATTCACCTCATGAGGAGAACGTAGCGAAACAAACACCTAACCCGCACGTGAAACTGCGAGTGAACAGAAATTGGGAATATAACTTCATGCAAATTCATAAAATCTATTTGAGGTACTAATTCATAGTATGCCAATCAACTAGAAAAGATAAACAATAAAATAGAGAACATAAACAAATCATTATATATACTAAGGCATTACCCTCATGTCAACTTTGTTGCATAGCATATAAAAAAAATTATGAAAACGAGCCTTTGACTCATACTTTTCCTTTTATTTTTTTAATAATTGAATTTTTGGTACTCGAAATGCAAAACAGCATGGTTTAGAAACTCACCCACAACTTCTTGGTTCCTCTGGGACATTTCTTGGTTCATGGCTTCATAATAGTGAAGCCTATCCAATAAACGAGCAATCTCAGAGTTCTTCATCTTTAACTGAGCTTCCATCTCCAATTCGACCTCAGCTTTTGCAATTCCCCTCCCAATTGCATTCGACACAAACCGGGCCAGGTGGACCTGTTGACATAACTCCTCTGCAGGATCGTCCAGTTGTTGTTCACCCTCAGACAAAGTAGTAGGGTCCACAGGGAGTGTCAACCCCACTAGAGATAGCTTTTCACAGATCCTCTGCCATTGGTTTCGCATATTGCATAAAGCTTCTTCAGCTTGGTTCCTCTTTTCTATCTCCATCAACAAACTCAATCTTGTTTCACGCAGTTCGGTCTCCAGATCAGGTATTTGGAGCTGAATGTCGTTCTCTGATGATAACTCTGAGACATTACATGCAAATAAGCCATGGCAAGCCAATCCAGCGTCAGTGACATATAATTACTTGATGAAATTTTACATTGGGAATGACCAAAATAAATATTTAAAACAATATTTAGTTTGATTCAAATACCGCCAAAGAGAGGTCACACAGAAGCACATTCACCAACAGAGACCGAAAAAAAAAATCTTGTTTCTACGGTAATATTTGATTACTGAGATAAACCATTAATTATTTAGTGAAACCATAATCTTCTGCAGTCGGTTTCTCATTTTGACTGTGATATTTAAGGAACAATAACTTGCCAAATTGATAAGATGTTCAGCCAAAGCCAAAAAACTTACCTTCCCAAGCATCATAGAACTCAGTTAACGGCACCGTCAAATTCAAAGACTGTTCAGCACCCCAATTACCCTCGCTTTCACAGGTGCTCTTAACACTCATCGACTCCTGTGGATCGACAAAATTATCATCATCAGCCTCACCATCTTCTTGCTGCAAACCGAATTCAAAAAAAGACTTCACCACTCCCCCTTCCTGACCATTTTCCACATCCTGACTTATGATCCCATTATTACAAGAACCATTCAAATGATTTTCCATGGCATAGCCTAAAACCTTCATACTGTCATTAGTCCCGTTCTCGGTTGCCTTGATCTCATCTGCACTCTGTTTACAAGTCACAACATCATCCTCCGAGAGGCTCTTCACGAGCCGTGGGCCCCGTCGCTTGTGGTTAATAATATAAGGCGAAGGGGGGAATGAAGACGGTGTATCGGGAAGTGGGGTCGACTCGGGGGTTGCATAAAGTGCAGGCGAGATTTGTGTCCAGCGGTGTTTTTTATCCACGGCTGATGTGGCTGTAGTTGATGATCCATTTTTCCTGTTATTGAGCTTTGGATGAACAGGAACAATGATACCTCCTTTGCTTAAATTTGAAGTAGGGGCAACAGTTTCCTTGACTTGGCTAGGATTTGGAGTGCTGTGCCTCCACTCGAGCTTTGAGTCGAGAGAACTCCCTGCTGGCAGTGTATAATTTGATGCTCCAGGTTCAATCAGCCTATCAAAAGCTACGGCTGTAAATGTCGACATGGCTTTCAAGGTTCAATCTATCTGGAAAGAAAAATAAACAGTGTTAAGGAATGTGTCATTGTAAACTTTTACTCGAGAAGTAGTATCTATCAGAAGTTTCCGGTGTCGACTTCTGATCAAGGCAGCACCAATCCCTGTAAATTTTATGAAACCAACAAGTTATGAGACTAAGCTTGTGCTACAAAACAGCTTCTTTACCCTACACCCTCTTGACTAGTTCTGCCTCTGAGATTCCATCTAGCGAGAAAGCTCCGAACTCCAAATTCATATTTTCTTTTCTAACAGAGGCCATTCTTCCCCTAACACAGCCTTTAAATTAACACAAAAGGAAACTACATGAAAAAAGCTCGTTTCGACCGAAAAATGAATTCACACACAGGCTCAACCAGCTGACGATGTTCCTCTTCAGTTACAACGAGCAAAAGCTCCAATACAAAAATTTGAACCAAATAGAAGGACCCAATCACTGATACAATGGATAAAGTCCACAACCATAGCTACTTTTCAGAACAAGCAAAAAACAAGCAAAAAAACAAGAAAATTCACTATCCTCTTAATAATTCTGAAACAATAAACACAGCAGACCAGAGAATCAAAGGCATATAAACACATACACAGGCTTCATCATCCTGACAATTAATTCAATCCCGCAGACGAAGCAGTAAAAGGGCAAAGGAAAATTGATTAAATTAAGGTAATACGTACCGTCCGAGAAGAAGAACGACGAAAATCTTTGGTCGGAAATCACTCGATGAAATGAGAAGAACATGGATCCAAATCCAGCACGAGGGTTGAATGTTTATTGTCTGGTGCCCTAATCTAATCTTGTTCTACAAGTAATCAACAAATTATGAGCCGTAGCTAAGCTTTGGGACAAAGATGACCGAGTCTTTCTCTACTGTCTACTTTCCTTGTTCCCACGAAATTTGATTAGTTAATTGGTGAATCTGGAAAATGTTACGGGTCCCGTTACGGCATCATCCCGTCACGTATTTTAACTGTTAGATCATCTATTTTATCTAACTACATGTGGATTCAACTGTTAAACCACCCAACGGGATGGTCCCGTAATGGGACATAGCAATTTCCCTCTATTTTAAGCGAGATGCTACGATCTCGTTATAGAATCATTTCGTCGAAGTTTGTAACCGTTAGATCAATTATTCTTAACAATTACATGATGAACCAACAGTTACTAATTTCGACATAATAGTTCCGTAATGAGACCGTAACATTTCTCTTGTTTTAAATATTAAGAATGTGTTCTAGTGCGTAATTTGTGTGGTGATGAGTCTCGTCATCACTTATGTTTGGCTCATGTCATTTAGCAATAGGTTTTCTATTTTCATTTTAATGTTAAATTATTTTGTGGCCCAAATAATTGTGTAGAGATGTTAAATGGGTCAGTCCTAGCGATTACGGGCTAGTCCTAGCGGGTTTCGAGTTAAACAGTCCGAGCCTAAAAAGCCCAAATTTAAACGGGCTACCAATAAAAGGACCTAACCCTAACTCTAGCAGGCTTCGAGCTAAACGGGCTTTAATAATAATATTACTAATAGTAATAATAATAATAATAATAATAATAATAATAATAATAATAATAATAATAATAATAATAATAATAATAATAAAATGTATCAAAAAATATCAAAATAAAAAGAAAAAAATTATAAAAAATTACAATGACTAATTAACGATTGTTTTGAATGGTATTTAGTATTTGCCGCTCTATATATACAACTACACATCATATATGAACACATACTACAAACTCTTAAATAACATTTTTTTTAAAAGAAAAAGGTATACGAATTATTACTTACAATTACCATTTCACTACTTATTTACGATATTATATCAATATAAATTCTATTACTATGTTTTATGTGTTAGGTCTTTGTCTCATTTGTTTCCTATTAGTCGTTCTGATTGAGTTAAATATTTTGGTGTGGAGTAAAATAAGAATATTGTCAATAACTATCTTTCAAAATCAATATAATCCGTTACAACTCATACTTATATGTGAAGTGGAATAACAAAATTGTAATATACAACGAATCTAAAAATATATTACTTATTTGCTGCAAATATATTACTTATTTGCTGTAAATATTTACAACGTCCAACTCAAGTTAAACGGATCAGCCCTAGCGAGTTTCGGGCTAGCCCTAACAGGTTTCGGTTTAAACGGCCCGGGCCTAGAAAGCCCTGATTTAAATGGACTACCAATAAAAAGCCCTAACCCTTTTTTTTCCGGGCTAAACGAGCCGACCCGTCGGGCCAATTACCATTTAACATCTCTATATTTAACATCTCTATAATTGTGGTATTTTAATTGATATACTGTCTTGAAAAGCCTTTTTTTTTTTTTTGCATCGAGCCAAGTATTTGGTCCCCCTTTCTTTCCAAGTCCTATGTTCCATGAAATCTAAGGTAGATTAGTGGTGGCCAAAACATGGGCGGCTGCCGGTCTCCAAAATAGGAACCCGAAACCGGCACTGACCATATAGTTGATGAATTAACAATGTATTTATTTGCCAAATAAATTCTCCATCAAAACTTTTCCTAAATCACACTTTTGAATATCTTTTTCCTAATAATGTTAAGAGAATAAAGAATTTATGATAATTTAAAATTTTTAGATTTTTTAAAAGATTATTATATTGATATAGATTCTAATCCAACAAGTAAATAAAAAAAAAGGACAGATTTAAAAAAAAAAATGGTTATATTTCAAGAGCTTAACAGCAGAAATATAACCATTCTGGAAAACATCATATATACCTCTGCAATTGAATTACTGCAAAAGTATTTCTATGATTCTATCCGTACAAACATGAAACTGTCGCGGCTTATAACAAAAAATATGAAGAACCCTATGATTGTCATCGGCAAAACTCGAACACTTTCGATCGAAGACTACTGCAATGTGTACAGTTTTTTTTCTGAATAGCTACCTGTTGTTGAAAACGGGTGAAACCGTTAAAATGTACAGCCTTCATCTCAGGTATTACTTCTGCCTCTGTGCAGCCTGGAGGCATAGAAAAAAAAAAACTTTTAAATGTTT